AATAGCATAGTTTTTCAGTTGAATTGCATTGTAAGGACAAATTTTTTCCGCAATAATATAAATTTTGATTTTGTCTTGTTTATTTATCCTTGCAGTGGCATGTATGAAAAATTGATGTTTGAATATTTCTACTATTAGCAATAATGGGTTTGATTCTTAATTATGTTATTTGTGGAAATGTCGAGAATTTGCCAAATAAAGGAAGATTCTCATCGCCCAAGTTCCAATTGGACAGAAACTTGGAATCATACAACTTGGTTGCGTGATGAATGAGAAAATTCATATTTGGAAATTAGACTAATTCTTTGGTAAAGTATCAAGAGAAGGACCAGGAGATCGAGTACACTAGGTTGTGCGTTGATCAAGTCCATCACAAGAGTGATATAGATATTCGTCATGATTTACTAAAGTTTAGTAAATATGGTTATACTTATAAGATTAAGTATAATTCTGAGTTGATCGAAAGAGTTTCAATCAATAGCAGAACGAATAAGAAGAATCAAGTAGGCAGAAAGATAAAAGTTTCTCTATTCTAAGAAGAAGGGAGAGTACCTTTTATTGTGTTTTATGATAAGTCTTAATGATTAAGAACTATTTCTCAATTGGTCCTCTTTAGTGAGTCTTAGTGCATTTGTATGTCTAAGAAGAGGAATCGAGAATTATGGAAATAATTAAATCAATAAGTCAATCATACTTCGTTCCAATATCAAGTCTTAAGAGTCATACTCCAAGATTGTGACTTGAGTGAGACGTCTTTAGTAGGTTTATAACACTCAACAAATGCGGAATTGAAAAAAGTTTTCTTATTCCTGCACATTTGAGATTGGTAAGTTGTGATGTCTTGGATAAGACAAAGACCAACTAGAACCAATTATGTGAAGTGATAGTCTTGATAAAAACTACACTAACTCTTGAATATTTGTTTTGTCAATGAATGTTTCTTGACAAGAGAATCTTATATGTGAAGGAGTCAGTGGGAGTCTTAATGGTCTTGAAAGGTTTCAAGAACAAATCAAGAGTTAAACCTAGTTGATCATCACTAGCACACGACTTGAGGTTTAAAGCCTATCATGGATGACATACTCTTTTTCTGTGCCATTCCAATTGAGTTAATTTTGCATGTGAGTTCTATGAGTTCTCATTTGAATGCATAAATACAAAGCACCTTGATCAATGGAAAGTACATTGATATGAAAGGGTGAGTTGCTTGGAAGACATGGTGGGCATTCATGTTTTGGAAGACATGAGGCAAGAAATCGAGATTGAGCACGTTCGGTCCATATGAGTTTGGATTTGTCGCAAACTTTAGTTTTGGAAAATTCACATGGATAGGAACACATAGACTTTAAAATCTAAGTGTCATGAGGTTTCCCTCCTTCATGAAAATGATTGTAAGTAAATGCTTTCACTAAGAGAGATTTTAAGAAGATTGCAATTGTGAAAATTGTATTCTCAAATTCGATTATGATTACGACATCCCTCTTCATAGTTCGAATTGTGAGATTTGGCAATTATTCTGAACATTTGGGACTTAGTAACATAAGTTCTGAATTTCTTTAGACACACATGTGAGCTTTCTAAGGCAAAGGTGTATGAGGTTAAGAAGCTTAGATAAAGGCTTATCAAAGCATCAAGTATTTAGAAATATGAACTTAAGGAATGCAATAAGCATTGTTTTCTGAAAATTCAGATGTTTTCTAGATATATGTCAAAGCTAGTGGGAGCATAAGTGTTATGCTGATAAGGAAATAATCATCATGTTAGTGGGAGCATGATTATTATGGTAAGTATTGCAAGTTAGCAATATTAATTATAGAAAAACAAAAATTCACTTTGCAAAGTTGCAAGGGTTGAAAAGTTGTTTTGCTATAATTAAGGGAGAGAATATTATACTTCGTTTCAAAATCTAAAAGTTTAGATCAAGAAATGTTAATAAAATTTAGTCAAGAATACATAGCACGTTCTCAAAATTCGATTATGATTACGGCATCCCTCTTCATACTTCGAATTGTGAGAACATGGCTAACAAAATATTATGGCAAAAGACTGATAAAGTATCATGTCTTTATGTGAGACATTATGCATCATGTCCAATACGATTCGGGTATAGGATCGATTGCATATGCTGTAATATTTGACCATTCTAAAATTTTTCAAAATGCCTAGGGAATTAAGAGGAAAAAAGGGACTAGAATCGGTTTTGACTAAAATAATTAAACAACTATCAAAGGACGATCTGAGGTTCACTGAGGATTTGTCGCTTGTGAGTAGTTGGAAGTATAGTACTGGATGGACTATATTGACATTATTATGAATATATAAAATTCTATTGAGAATGAGTTGTCATATGGCAAATATGGAAATGTTTCCATTAATGGGAGTTGGATATTAAGAAATATGTCTAGATTAGAAACTTTTATGCGAAAAGGATGTTCAAAGGAATGTACTTTGAATGTGAGACTTCACGTCTATGGAATTGTCTTGTAACAATTTTCGATAGAATACCTTGTAATTTCATTGCCGGGTCTTGGTGACTTTTGTGCTGTGACATTACGAAAGAATCATTGCATAAAATGTTAGAATCTGGACATATTCTAAAAGTGGCAAGAATTTGGTATTCTTATACTAATAATAAGTATTGGGGATTGTGAAATAAGTTTCATTGGAAAAGGTTTTCAATTGATCTATTTCACAAAGTAAGGACCATAGGAAACCAAAGTGTGCATGCTTGGAGCATGGGAAAATTGTTGTTATAATTCAAGTAATAAGTTGATTTTCTGAAACAGTAAGCAATGAATACTGACTAATCAATATGGTGTTTAAAATAAAAGTGTTTTATTTACGCTCAAAAGCTTTGGGGCCATATAGGATTAATATTATTATTGCGTTTCACTCTGCATGTTTTGACTTCCAGAATAACTAGGTTATTCAAACATCCACAGTCGGTCATACGTTGGAAGTAGGTATGAAGAAAGACTGTCATGAAGAGTCTGTAGATTGTCTAAATAGTTTAGACATAGCACAAGTTTGCTGCAGAGTTCATGAGTGCTTTAATAAGATTAGAGTATTGGATTAAACCCATGCTCACCTGAATCACTTCATGGATTTTATCACGAGTGATTGTGAGACGATAATATTGTATATTCTTGAAACCGAGACGTGTGAGTTGTTATTTGCTGGTCGGTTGCACATTGATGATAAGTAAACACACCAGTAACTTGGTGTTATAAAACTTATTGTTGTGTGTGATTCGATTAGTAGGTGCAAGAAAACATTTGAGTCAAAGTTTATCCATTCCTTTTACCCAAAGTGGGATCAAAGCGATATATGTAGGCCCCTCGATGATTTTGTGATGACACCCTAAACGCTTGGCCAAGCCGGGACTAAGTTGATGTGTTCAATTGTAGTTTGTTGTTAGTCGTCATAAATCGGAAGTCGGGAAACAGTATAGAGAGAATGATCGAAATTCATGTCTTGTGTCTATACGATATCTTGACAATGGAGGAATATATGATCCCTTATCTAAAGGACACGCATATCTGATAAGATCAGAGTTGAGAGCGGCTTTTGAAAGCTACGATTGCTGATCAGGTTCTGAAGTTATGCAAAATAGTTATTAGACTTATCCAAGTGGGAGACTGTTGGATTAGTGTCTAAGTCCATAACTATTTTGGTATGTACTTGACCCGATTGTGAGCATGGTCCTTTTGGGTTGCCTTCACCATAACAATATATAGGATGAATTAAGAATAGAAAGGTTTAATTATGATTTATTAATATATTATGAGAATAATATATTAAAGGAGAAATCATATTGTTTAATTAATATTAGTCAAGAATTAATTAAGAATTAATTTTGTGGCTAAAAGAGATTAATTAAACTTAAGAGACTTATTGTGTAATTATAAGATAATTACATAGATGGGCTAATGGACTCCATAGAAGTTGGAGTGGACGAATTCTATGGGGAAACCCATTAGAAATCGTCCAAGGCTTCTAAAGAGGGAGTCCATGGGCTGCTTAGGGCTTAAGCAGTCAGATTAGGGTTTCCTAGCTGTAAACCCTAATAGCCAGCATATATAGGAACCCTTATGCCCCAAAACGGGTTGAATACTTCCTTTAGGGTTTCCAGCCGTTTTTGGTGCCTCCTCTCTCCCCCCTCTTCATCCAAGTTGCTTAGTGGTGTTTGTGACTCCATTAGAGGTGCAACAACTTGAGGCACTAAGCTTTCTGAAGCCAAGGATTGATTGTTATTTGCTATATAACAATCAAAGGTAAGATCTAAACCCTAATTTCAGTTATAGTTTATTAGATCTAGGGTTTATGGCTTTGGATTATCAATTGCATGTTCATTAGACAAACTAGATCAAAAGCTATTAGGGTTTGCATGTACACCATAGGATTGATGTAGTGCTCGAAACCCTTCAATTACATCGTACTAACCAAATACAAACATAGGACCGGATAATAGAGTTATTTCTGACACTTTGATTATCGAGGTTTGACAAAAGAGACTAAGTCCTATGACATGTTAAATCAAGCTAAATGAAAAGTATAATTAATTCAGACGGACAAAAGACTCATTCTACATATTATCATTCCGGACACTAATTCCATTCCGGAATGCCTTAACAACGTTCGGAATGTCTACTTCTCCGGACACAAGCTTCTCTTCAAACTACACACTGATTTTGCAGCAACTTTTATTTCGGAATCTGAGGCTGACTTCGGAACTGTCAAAAGGTTAGAGATTGCTAGAGGTTCACTTCCAGGTTCCAACACGACCGCTCATGCCTCCGCCTCTAGAGTTTCGAACACCATGTTTTCCATTAAAGGAAGAGCCTCGGTGATTATTTGGAGGTCGATTTTCATTATTGCGGTTTTTATGCGTGGTATTTAGGATAGTAGGGGCTGAAGCATGATCTTGATGAATGGCTGGTACCACACGATTTTGTTCCTTAAGCATAGAACGTTCTTCAAGTGTTAACATCGACCACATTTCAAGAAAGGTCGGGAATGGTTTCTGATGTCAAATGGTGGTAACCACATGAGCAAACTTTTAGAGAGAGGCCATTAATGACATAGATAACAAGATTACGTTCTGGAACTAGGGCTTCGATGTTGGCAAGAATATCAGCAATTGACTTTATACGAGTGCAATATTGAACGATCGTTGAGTCACCAATAGTAATGGAACGAATTTCATCATCAAGTTCCATGGCTTTGGATTCTTTGTTTTCAAGGAAAAGAGCTTCAATAGACTTCCAGACTTCGGCTGCCGGAGCATCAGGTTTGAGAATGGTTTGAAGGAGAGGCTGAGTGAGAGTGCCATACATCCATTGTTTGACAATATTATCAACTTCTTCCCACTGAGATTCATCGGCTTTGAGAGATGAACCATCAAGATGACCATAGACGGAATACCCAATGCAATGGGTCTTGAATAATTCTTTCCATGAATCATAATTCATATGATCAAGATCAAGTAGAAGAGGGAAATATGACTTTATGTTTGTGATGCAAAAGATTTTATCAGTAGGTTTGGTTTTGGAAGAGCCTTCTGAGACAGTCATGATGGAGAAGAGATAGAAAGTCGAGATGAGAAGAAAAGAAAGACCGTTGCCCTGAGGATCGACTAGGGTTTAGAGAGATTAGGCTGATACCATGTTAGGCACCATATTTTCCCATGAACGATTATTGTATTCCATTACAAAATATATACATGATATAAGAATTAGACTATGCTAAAACATTGTGGGCTAAATACAATGGGCCACACAAAGATAAAAACAAATACAATAAGTACAATAAGTAGAAGATTATATGTCTAACAATTTCAAGGGTAAGAAAATGGAAAATTTCCTATTGTTGGTTTATTCCTTAAACTATTTGATAAATCCTTCCTTAGGCTTGTAAGTGTTACAACCACATATGAATGAGTTTTAATTGCACTGATATATAACATTGGTTTCGAAGACTACACTTTACCATCGAATACATATATGAATTTGTAGTACAATAGTTTTATTGCCGAATGGGACATCCCATTCACTATCCTAGCAAAGTATGTTACATACTGCAATTGTGGGTAAATAATTGCAAGTAAGATACTCTTAAAGGTAAAAATAAAGTATATCCTAAATATTGTAATAAGAGTAAAATATCCTTCGATTTTAACTTACTAACTTAGCTAGCTTTCTCTTGAATCGGTTCAAGTTGGTGATAAGAGTAGAATATGTTGTTATTTTTTATCCGTAGATCGTCGTACACAAAATTCTTTTTTATTTTAAATTAGTGTTAAATGCAAAAAAAATAGAAATGTATTTTGTGTGGTTGTTTTTTGAAACGTCCGACTTCCCTTCTTTTATTAAAATTTTCTATCATTATTTCTGTTTTCCTAAGACATTCTACTTTGGAAATTATACTTAGTGATACCATTATGCTTTATTTTTTTCACCAGGAACCTATATCCGGCAATGAAAAATGATTATTATTTCGATGATATAACTTATATAGACTTTTTAGTTTTGAAGAATTTACCTTGCTATAATATGGATTGTTAATTTTTTTTCCATATTACGACATTATATTTGATCTTAACCGGTTACTTCTTTATTTGGTCTGCTATATGGATTTGTTGTTATAATTTTATGTTGATAAACTGTATGGAATTAGAGACCGTATGGGTGTGTTCTATAGCCATTTTTGTTACATATGATAAAAGAAGAATATGAAAGATTAATAATTCATATTACTATTGATGAAATGTGTGATGTTTATGGTTATATAGTTGCTTTTTAGCTCTTCCACATAGTACCGTTTGATATATGATTTTAAGAAAATAAGATCCTCTTTTTTTTTCAAATTTTTTTTTTCATAAAAGTAAGTGTTAATTGAGAGCCTGAAAGCGTAATGACTAAAGATCAAATATCCAATAATAAAGGTATTGATATATTTTCCATGGAACATGGATGAGTAGTTACTAAGTCATGTTTGTATATCAAGAGAAAAAAGTTAGTCACCAAAGTCTCTCATTTATTCAATAAATTCGGACTTTTTATGTTTAGTTTTCCTAATGTGTTGTGGGTTTGAAAATTTCTTGATATATACACACACCTAAATTTACATTTCCCAAACCCTAAACCTTAAACCCCGATGATGTTTAAAATATATTATAAATGGGTAATCTTTCGTTACGAATAATTATCATTTGCCTTTTCAGGATGTCACATCTAAAATAATGTCTTTAACAAAGATGGCCCCTGGTCAATATGCATTCCATCGAAGGTTAGTGTGATTTCACATGTGACTTTGCGGCATGACAGTTCATCGGGAGGTGAAGGCGCCATAACATATAAGGTGTCAAACTTAATTTTTGTTAAGAAATAGCACTGTGCTTTTGTTTGTTTATTTATTATATATAACATGCTACTTTTATTTCTTCTTGATAACATTGTACTTGATAAAAAATAATCCAATTATAGAAATTTCATCATCATCCAATGGTAAATTTTTCAAGACACAATGTTTTATCAAGAGAAAATTTTAATATAATGATATAGTTGATAGGAATTAGGTAGAACAAATAAACATAAAACCCTTAAGTTCATATGCAACCTAAAGATCTATGTTTTCACTATTGAACCTATAACTAAGAACATCAAATAATAAACCCTAGGTTATTTTCGATAATACCAAAGAAGGGTTTAGGATTACATAACTTATTGTTATTATAGTAAATAACAAGAATCCTTCACTTGTAGATCTCTTTGAAGCAAGCACCACAATTGTCGTGCCTATAATGGTTCACATCCAAGCTAGCAAGAAAGAGGCTTAAGAGAGAGGAGAGGGGAAAGTAGTATTTTCGGCTATATCTTAAGGAGAAGGAGTGGCCGAAAATAAGAGGCCTAAGGGTCATTATATAGTGGCATAGGAAACCCTAGATAACCCTGATTTGAATATTAAATTAATATTTCAAATCTTGTATTTATCTCATTCATTCTTTATCCACATGGGATATTCTAGAAACCCTAGAATATCCCCTCAAAACCATCCATCCCTAGGGTTGGAAGGTTCTGAAGCCTTTTGTTCAACTATTTAACAATTGCACTTTAGACCCTACACTTTTTAATAATTCCATTAATCCAAAGATTTATTCTAATTAGTTTATGAACAATTATTAATTAAATAATAGTTTTTTCTAATTAATATATTATTTTCATAATACATTAATAAACTATTTATTTCATTTTATTAATCACATAATAAATCAATCTCTCTCTCTCTCTCTCTCTCTCTCTCTCTCTCTCTCTCTCTCTCTCTCTCTCTCTCTCTCTCTCTCTCTAAAAGTCATCATGTCCAATTGGTAGGTTAGAGGACAACCCAAAAGGATTGTGCTACTATCAATTCAAGTATGTATACAAATTTTAGTTATGGGCTTAGACACCTAATCCAACAGTCTCCCACTTGGATAAGTCTATAAATATAATTGCTAGTATAACTTCAAAATCGATCAGCAAATTGTAGCTTCCAAAAGCCGTTGTCGAACTCTCACCCAGTAAGTTACGCGTCCAAAGATAAGTGATCATATAATCCTCCGTTCTGAAAGATATCATTTGGACATGAGACATGGAATAGAATCAATCTGTTGCGTCAAAAATATGGTTTATACTTTACTTTTCTAGGCATTAATAGTTTTTTGGTCGTCTAATATATTTTTACAGTTGTGATTACGGCCTAATGGGTGTTTACGGCCGTAAACCCATTTACAGCCGTAAACCCATTTATGGCACATATTCCCCAAGTATATATATATTGGTGTTAGGTGGTTGAGGAGGGATTGATGAACAGAAAAGGAGTGTACGGCCAAGAGAGAAAGTTAGAGAGAAGAGAGGAGCTTTAGTGTGTGTTAGTATGTGTGAATCTTGTATCTGGATCTTCATTCTAATCAAATCATACAAGATTCATCATCTTCTTCTTCTCATTCTCTGCTATTTTGATCTGGCATCATCCGTTTGATTGGGATTCCGCACCATCAAACGGATCTGATTGATCCACAAGCATTTTGGGACTTACAATTGGTATCAGAGCTTGGATTGTATCAGTCAATTTTGTCAGATCTGGAGCTGATTTGATCTTATTTTTGAAGGATTCCTGCGTTTTTGGATAGATCTTGCCAAAATAAGGGGGATTTGTTCTTCGCGTTTGTCATAAAAACGGGTTTTTGATCGAGTTTTGGAGCAAAAAGGAGCAAAAAAACGTTGTTTTTGGTCGTAACCAGCGAGGGGGTGGCGGCGTGTACGGTGAGCAGCTAGGGTTTCCGAGGTTTACGGTCCCGAGTTTATGGTCCGAGGTTTACGGTCCGGAGTTTGCGGTCCGAGATTACGGCCCTCGGAGTTTATGGCTCGCACGTGTTCGGCTCGGAGTTTACGGTCCGATCCTCGCTTCGCAACCTCGTCCTCGCATCCCAGCATCCTCGCATCGCACACTTTAAAAAAAGGGAAAGGAGTTTTGGGGGTGCTTGGATTCGAACCCAGGTCTCACGAATGAACAAGCACGCGCCTTACCAGTTGGTCTAGGAAGCCTCTTGCTTCACTCCTTCGAAATTTAATTCATAAAGTGTCGCTCTCGGTTCCAACTTTCGCATTTTTGTCAATTTCAGCCCAAAATTCAAATTTCTTTTATTTTTTAAATCCCATTTTCTACAAAATTTTAGATTTTAATTTTTGACTTTTAATTTTTAACTTTTTACTTAAAATTTTGACTTTGACTTTTAAAGTTTGACCTTTTACTTTCTTGTTTAACTTTTAAATTTTCAAATTTAGCTTTTCGGTTTGACTTTTAAGTTTGACTTTTGATTTTGACTTTTTAAATTTGACTTTTAAGGTTGACTTTTGAGGTTTATAGTCAAAGGACATTTTTAAATTTAAGTTTGACTTTTAAGTTTGATTTTGGCTTCTAGTTGTGTTTTTAATGGCTTTTGAGGTCAACAAGGGAAATGAAGACATGAAAAAGAGTCATGATATGTTAAGACAAAAATTCAACATGTTCAACTATATCCCTGGAGAAACCCTGGAAGCTCAGTTGCAGCGATTTACTACACTTACTACTGAGATGAGTATAGCTGGGATTTTCTTGACTAAATCTGAGATAAATAAAAAGCTGCTGAATGCACTTCCAAAGTCGTGGGATATGAACGTGGATGTCATCAAGAAGACAAAAGATCTCAATCGTCTTAGTCTTGCTGCTGTAATTGAAGAACTTGACGCTTTGAAGTGTGGAAAAACAATGAGTTCCGCAAACATTCCGGAAGACTACAGTGAAAAATGTGAAAATT